AGCCAGCTCTGCTGGCTGGGGGATTCTGGGAGTTGAAGTCCACGCATCTTCAGGTGGGCCAACGTTGAGAAACACTGCTCTATAATAATGTAGCCTCATCCTCCACCTGCTGCCTCCTTCCCGCTTCTCTGTGCCAGGGCCCTAAAGGCCTACCCAAGACCGGAGGAAAAAAAAATCCCCGTAGCCTCCGGCGCAAGAAATCTGGCTTTCGCACATGCTCCAAGAGAAGGCCGGGCATGTGCAGTAGCCTGGCAGAGAGGCTGCTCGGGGATCTCTTCCAAGCGCCCGCCTCAAACCTCGCCCTCTCCGCTTGCATCCAGGTGCGAGTGTGGCGCCATTTAGCCGCCATCGGGGCGGAGGGAAGGTGGCGTTTCCGGGTACCCCTCGGCAAGGCGCCCCGCGGGCCGGAGAGGCGAGATGAGCGGCTCCGAGGAAGAGAAGCAGCTGGAGCTAATCAGCAGCCTGAAAGAACAAGGTAAGGCTCCAAAGCCGACCGGCTTAGCTTAAAAATCAGCCCTTGCCCGACAGCGCCCTGGCCAAGCTTGTCAGCGGCGCGCTTTCGCTTCTGCTCTCCTCTCAGAAAAGCGGCTTCTGTAGGCAAACGGGTCCCTTCGCCGCGGAACGGCCTTTAGTGTCAGAACCGAAGCAGCCGTGACTCTGGTGACCGGCCTTTCAGGGTGGGGTGTCACCTCAGAAACAGGAGATTTGTGGATCCCATCTCAAGACAGCTGTTCGGTGACCGGCCTGATTCTACGCGGAGATCTGCTGGATCCAGATTTCTTATTCCTCTCTTTCCTTTTCTTTTGCCTCCTTTGGGCGCTCTCTCTTTCTCTCTCTCTGCCTATCCCCTTGGGCCCGCACTGCAGGAAAATGTTGCAGTCCACCCACTTTTCGTTTGGGGACGATTTAACCGAGCCTTAATTTACTTATTTAATCAAGGCTTAACTTATCAGTATTTTTGTATATGTGTGTGTTGGTTGGCCTGGCAAGTAATAATAGATTCTATCCATTGGATGGATTTGGGATTAAATAGATGAAATCATCTAGAAATATCTTCTCACTTACTACTTCTTTCCCCGTGACCCGTCAAAACCGCGTTCCACAAAAGTGTGGTCGACGAAATCGCGTATGTGACATCACAACGCGACGAAAAAGATCTAAAAATTGAAATAAAAATTAAATTACAGCAAGCCGATTCACATAAAGGTAAGGGTTAGGTCAGTGTTTTTCAACCACTGTGCCGCGGCACACTAGTGTGCCGTGACATAGTGTAAGGTGTGCCGTGGGAAAATTACTTTATATATAGTCAATATAGGCACAGAGTTAAATTTTTTTAACATTTTCTAATGGTGGTCTGCCTCGTGATTTTTTTCATGAAAAAAGTGTGCCTTTGCACAAAAAAGGTTGAAAAACACTGGGTTAGGTTAAGGATTAGGGTTAGGGTTAGATTAAGGGTTAGGGTTAGGTTTAGAGCGTTAGCGTTACGTTTAGCGTTAGGTTAAGGGTTAGGTTTAGGGTTAGATTTAGGCTTAGGTTAAGGGTTAGGTTTAGGGTTAGGTTTAGGGTTAGGTTTGGGGGGGTTAGGGTAAGGTTTTCGCTTTATTTTTACATTTTTCGATCTTTTTCGTCGCGCTGTGATGACGTCACATACGCGCTTTCGTCGACTGCGATTTTGTTGTCCGCGGTTTTGTGGTGGAACCCTTCTTCCCTCTTTCATTTACAAGAGTTGTAAAACCCTTCGCAACTGAACAAAAAAGTGTCCAGGGAAATTACTTAAAAACAAAAATAGAGCTGAAGATGTTTAAGACTTTGCTTCAAAATTTAGCACTTCAGTAAGTAATACACTCTTGGATAGGAAATTAAATTTAACTCATAACTTAGTGCTTAGCAGTTTTTAATGCTTGGGTGATCCGGCCTTTGATGCTTTGGGCTACAACTCTGAAAATACAGTCTCCTAACTTGTGAGTTTAGGGAACAGGCAGATGCTTAAGTGCTCACTCAGTGACAAAATGGAATGATTGCAGTCCAGCTGATCTCTTCTTCTATCTCAGGTTGTTTGTGGGGATAGCAATGGAAAGGAATGGAGAGAAGCTAATGTTCTTAGAAAAGAAAGTAGTATTAATGAGATTAATTCACCAGTACAATTTCAGTGTCCCCCCCACCCCATTTCTTGCTGTCTTGTGAGAGTTAAAGTTCATTTTAGACTACTCTTCAAAGCAGTAATAACTCTGTGAGTTTCAGTTAGCCTACACTGACTTGATGCCATGTTGTTTTGTTTATTATGGTACTTAACAGTTTAACAAAATCCATTCAAACGAATATAGACCAATAAACCAATGACGGGAACCGTTTTTGGCCTAAAATCTTCAACCTAGACCAACCACTGACATGAACCCCATACAAATTTTTATCTGGGGTTTTACAGTCTCTTACTCATTCATGAAGCCTTCCAACATCCAGGTTCTCAACTCATCCTATGTAACCATATGTCTGCAGGTGAAATAGACAATTTCTTTCCCAATAGTGGAGTGGGCTCTCTTTTTAGTGCTGAGAAGATTGGATATGAAACTTTTCGGTTTTGTTAACGCTGAAAGAGGGGTGCCTTTTCAAAACTCAGTGGCAGGGGGAAAGGCATAAATACAGGAGAAGAGAGAAGATAGTTCTTCCCTTGCTGTAAAAAAGTTGTGAAAAGGTTAATCTCCAATGTCTTGAACTGAACTGTGATCTTTTGCAGGCAAACTATTTGTTCTTCTAAGCTACAAACTATGCCAGGGGTCCTTAACTTGAAATTTGCAGAACAGAGTCTCACAAAATACTTGCTATAATAGTGTGGCCAAGTATAAAACTTAATTTATCAGTAAACAAGGAAAAACACTAGGCACCCATCATTTTCTTTTAATGAATTTTTGATTTGATCAGGCGTAGAGACATTGTTTAATTGGGTGCATTGCTTTGCAGCTTGCTAGCTTCCCATTCCAGCCACCATTCGGCATTCTGAATCAGTTGAGATGCTCTACTTTCAAACTTTTTTGTGAAATTTCTGGGAACTTGGGATTTCTATGCAGATTTTGCCTTTCGGTGGAGTTTTACATCAACAATTATAATCAAATAATATTTCCAGTTATTAGTAACCTAAGCATAATCTAATACAATCTAATACAAGAAGTTGTGTTTTGAAAGATTTCCAAATGTCAGCTTTTTATTGTGATAAAGTAATGAATTGAGTAGAATAAAAAACTTTAGAAGAAAAACTCTAGTCAATTAACAATCTTCTCAAAGAAGCACCTTAAAGGTATATATAGGGAGTCCTCGGCTTGTGACCACAATTGAACCCAACATTTCTGTTAAGTAAGATGTTTGATAAGTGAATTTTGCCCCATTTTATTTCCTTTCTTGACACAGTTTGTAAGTGGATCACTGTAGTTAGTGACACAGTTGTTAAGTGAATCTGGCTTCCCATTGACTGCTTGTTCAGAAGGTGACAAAAAGTGATCACATGACTCTGGGATATTGCAATGTGTCATGAATATGAGTCGGTTGCCAAATGTGAAAAGTGGTCATAAGTCACTTTTTCTGTGCTGTTGTAACTTTGAACGGTCACTAAACAAACTGCTGTAAGTCAAGGACTACCTGTACTGATCCAGCTCAAAGGTAGCAAAATGTGTGGCCCAATCAGGAATGGAAGGGCATTCCTGATTTCTGAGACATTGTGTATTATATTTTTAATTTAATAAGGATAAAAATAAGAGAAGCCATTAAAATATAATATAAAATAGTGCAAGTTTAAAAAGAAAAAAAGTTATTGCACTCTAGCCAACATCCATTAAGAGTTATGCTATTTGTAAAATATCAAGTCAAGTTGAAGATAAAGACATTCAACAACAAAGCCCAATTGCTTGTGGTCCCACCTGTGAATTAACTTTGGAGAAGAAAATTGGAGAAGTAGCTAGGAGAAGAATCTTATCAGTGGCAATATTTTATGGAATTTTTGGGGGAAGGGAAGTATGGTAGTCTCTTGTACTGGCTTCTTCAGCGTATCTCAACATGCATCTATTTACTCATACATGTATAGGATAGTCATTGGTTCTAGATCCAGCTTTCTCCCTACTATACATTTTTAAAATGAACATTATTTTAACACGTTACTATTCTTTTTGAATAAGGGACAAAATGTGTCATGACATCATTATGCAAAAACCACAATTTGTTTAGTTGTGGACAATATTGTGATTGACATACATTCATAAGAATAATGTTGAGTGTTGACCTCGATAGAGATAGCCATATCCTTCACCAAAGCAACAAAAGGGAAAACATGACTTAAATGCAAAACAAAAAGAAGACATGTGCAAAAGACTAAGGCAGATTCCTCCCAAATTCACCTGACTATGGGGGTCGGGGTGTGGGGTGGGATTAACAAGTCAGACTTGTATGGTTCTATTATTATAGTCACAATTAATAAAAGTAGTTTTTGCTGAGTAGAATTGATTTCTTGGTTTGGTCTAAATAGCAGGACTGACACATAGTGTCTGTGTACGATATCTCCATCTGTTATTTTGACACAATTTTAGTTGTAAGGCAATATTTATGGGGTGTATGTAAAACGATTGAGTAGAATTAATGGATGTGATCCTGGTCAAACACAGTTTTCATCACTTGGTAATTTAATATCTTGTATGAGTGTTGTCAAAACTGCACTGTAATACATTCCATATATTTATGGAAATATACCATATTCAAATATATCAGAATACACTGCATAAATAATGCAGGATGGTAAGTATTTATCTTTCCTGAAAGTTTGCTTGATGTATCAACGTTGGGTTTCAGAAGAATACATTGAGTACACCGTTAGCAAGGCCTGTTCTCATCCTACCCAATAGCTGGATAGGAAAGGTTCTAATCATGTAATCCTGGTACACGATTTATGGTCTTTCATAAAGGACAGGATGGGGTGGCTCAGTGGCTAAGACACTGAGCTTGTCAATCAGAAAGGTCGGCAGCAGTTCAGCGGTTCGAATACCTAGCGCCGCGTAACTGAGTGAACTCCCTTTACTTGTTCCAGCTAATGCCAACCTAGCTGTTCGAAAGCACATAAAAAATGCATGTAGAAAAATAAGGACCACCTTTGGTGGGAAGGTAACAGCATTCCGTGCGCCTTCGGCATTTAGTCATACTGGCCACATGACCACGGAGAAGTCTTTGGCCAGTGCTGGCTCTTCGGCTTTGAAACGGAGATGAGCACCGCCCCCTAGAGTCGGGAACGACTGTAATAAAGTGTTATTTCAGTTCAGGTTACAAGGATTACTTCAGTTCCCACCCTGGCTGTCTCTTAAAAGATACAAAAGGTGGGGTGGGATGGTGGTGTTTGGATTTCTAAATGAAAATATTTTGTTGAAATTGGATGTTTAAATTAAAATTGAATGTAACATTTTCTTAAAGCAATGTATAAAATGTGAAATACCGCAAATCTAT